AACTGCCTTTCAGTAGCTGCTATACTAGCCCTGACTAGCAATGCCACTCCCCCGTCTCTTTTACCACCCTCCTTATTTCTTTTAAAGCATCTAATTCCCGGAACTTCCAACAACCATTCCTGTCCCCGAGTTACCCAAGTTTCTGTAATGGCCACAACATTGTAGTTCCAAGTACCGACCCATGCTCTAAATTCATCCACCTTATTTCTGATACTTCCAGCATTGAAGTATACATACTTCAAACCATCTCTGTGTCCACAATTTCGCTCCCTCGGCCACATTTCTTTATTAACAACCTCACTCCCTGTTGTGTCTGTTGGAAGGCCGAATACCTCATCCTCTGAATTATAAATCCGGTTCCCCACCCCCTGCCAATCTAGTTTAAACCATACCGTACAGCTCGAGCAAACCTCCCTCCCAGGATATTTGTCCCCTTCCGGCTCAGGTGCAACCCGTCCTTCCTGTACAGGTCCCACCTTCCCCAGAATGTGCTCCAATTATCCACATAATGGAAACCCTCCCTCCTACACCAGCCCTGTAGCCACATGTTTAGCTGCACACTCTCCCTATTTCTTACCTCATTATCACGTGGCACTGGTAGAAATCCAGAGATAACTACCCTTTTGTTCCTGGACTTCAGCTTCCAACCTTCCTCCCTGAACTCGTTTTTCACATTCTCAGTCCTTTTTCTACCTATATCATTGGTACCGATGTGTACCATGACTGCTGGTTGCTCACTCTCCCCCTTAAAGATCTTGAAGGCACGATCCGAGACATCACGGACCCTGGCACCCGGGAGGCAACATACCATCCGTTCATCTTGTTCGCTTTCACAGAACTGCCTGTCTGTGCCTTTAACTATTGAATCCCCCATTACAATTGCTGTCCTATTCTCCCCTCTTCCATTCTGAGCCACAGAGCCAGACCCTGTACCAGAGACTCGGTCCTTGTGGCTTACCCCTGGTAGCTTGTCCCCCCCCCAGAATTATCCAAAACAGTATTCTTATTGTTGAGGGGAACGACCACAGGGGATCCCTGCATTGACTGTTTCCTTCCCTTCCCTTTCCTTAATGTCACCCAACAACCTCTAGAAACATATCCAGGCCAACATTCATCCCTCAGCCAACTTTGCTCAAACAGGTTTCTGGTTATTACAATGGCTGTTTTGCAGGAGCTTGGCTGGGTGCAAATTGACTGTATTTCCCTCAATACAACAATGACTATACTTCTCAAATGATATAGATTTAGATTTAGGTTTTATTGTCATGTGTACTCAAGTACGGGGTACAAGAGTACAGTGAACAGTGTATAACATTGCTATTCATGGCACCATCTTAGGTACTAAGTACCTCAGTATAAAATCTTAGTTACAGAAGTAGAAAAATGAAGAAATAAGTTAAAAAGTTTGGCACTACAGTCTTCTCAGTATAAAAATGGAAAAATAAAAAAAGATAAAAAATCACATTCTTCACTTGCTTTAAAATGATTGTGAAGGGTGCTATCTAAATGCAAGATTGTTTTTTATCCGCCTGACTACTTTAGTATCCAGTACTAGAACAATGCTCTTCCTCATTGCATATATTTATAATTTACATCCGTTACTTCACAAATTAAAGCAGAATAAATGAGCAGGTTTTCTTCTTTGTCTCCGTTGCTTTCCCATACCATGATGATCGAATATTAGGGCACTGCCCTGTTTCAAAATAATAAGGATAAATAACATGAGAATTGCTCCATTGGAGAACGAGTCTGGGGAATTAATCACAGAAAACTAGGAAACAAATTGAATGGATATTTTACAGGTCTTCACGACAAAGGAAACCAATAGACATTCCAGGAAGGATCACAGTTTTAAAATAAGGGGTCATCCAGTTAGAGCAGAAATGAGGAGAAATCTTCCTTTCAAAAGGTCATGAATCTTTAGAATTCTTTATCCAGAGGTCGGTGGAAGCTGTGTCAATGAATATTTTTAAGACAGAGGTAAATAGATTTTTGACTAGATTTCATCAGAGGTTATCAGGGGTAGGCAAGAATGTAGAGATGAGGCCAAATCAGATCAGTCATAATCTTAACGAGTGGTGTTGCAGGCTCAAGGAGCTGAATGTCTACTCCTACTCCTGATTCACGTAAGAATGACCTCAGTGAGAACACTCAATGTAATTGTCTTTGACAATTGCCTGGCTTTCCACAGTCTCAGAATGGGCTCTGTAAGGGAGCTTTGGATCTAACCTGAAATGGAAGATGGATTGCGGTACAGCTGAAATACCAGCAGAGTTCTGCAAATCAGAACAATCAAGTGGTGCACATTTTTAGCTGTGCAAGATAATGTTGCTTTTCCAAGTAATGAGGTAGCATCAGGACTCTTGAGTTAAGGAAAGATTACCTGCCGACAGCCCTTGGATTGGTCAAATTGCAATTTATTTCAGGTCTGTAATTACCGAGCAGCGAAAGACATGCAGAGACAGCAAACTGAAAACATCTCCCTCTCTGACTTTCGCCCAGTGTGACGGAAAACGCAGGAACACCAAGAAATTTAAGAGAAGGAAAGCTGATACAAGTCCTGGGCCCTTTGGATCAACAACTGAAATGGAGAACAACAATCACATCACAGACACCTAACCTTAGTGTGACATAATTGCTAAAAAAAAAAATCAGAAGGAACTGAGAGGCAATTTAACCCGCCTTTGAGATCTAGACTATTGATCTTCAAAATGTTGTTTTTTCCTGTCTATATGTTTCCACTGTTACCATTTGTGACAAAGTCTATTTTAAGAAAAAATGATTGTGTGCATTTTGGGGTTTTTAAAGGGTTACAGTTTAAATCACCTGGTAACACATTTGTCATCCTTTCTTTCCTCAGTCATTTGTTAAAGAATTACATCATGACAGCTCATTTTGCACAGATCTGTAGTTCATCTCCTTCTCTGAAAAGACCCAGTTAAGACACTCACCCAACACCAATCATCCTTTCAGTCTCAATCAATGCCAGCTTGAGAGGATCAAGGACAGGCAGCCGAGACTCTGCTCAATTTGCCAAATAGTCTGTAGGGTTCAGTCACAGGTAGCCAAGGTGCTTAAGATGGCGTTTAGCATGCTTTCCTTCATCGCTCAGACCTCTGAGTAAAGGAGTTGGGATGTCATGTTAAGGTTGTATGGCACATTGGCGAGGCCTCTTCTGAAGTATGGTGCCCAGTTCTGGTTGCCTTCCTCTAGGAAGAATATTATCAAATTGGACAGTGTTCCGAAAAGTTTAGTGAAATGTTGTAGGGAATGGAGAGTTTGAGTTATAAAATAGGCTGGATAGATTGGGACATTTTCACTGGAGTGTAGGAGGTTGAGGGGTGACCTTATAGAGGTTTATAAAATCACAAGGGGCATAGATAAGGTGAATAGCAAGGGTCTTTTTCCTGGGGGAAAAGAGTTCAAAACTATGTAAGGTGAGAGGAGAAAGTTTTAAAAAGCACATGAGGGGTAAGTTTTTTTTTTACACAGAGAGTGGTTCGTGTGTGAAGTGAACTACCAGAGGAAGTGGTGGATTGCAGGTACAATTACCACATTGAAAAGACATTTGGATAAGTACATGAATAGGAAAGGTTTGGAGGGATATGGGCCAAATGCAAGCAAGTGGGACTAGTTTAGTTTAGCAACATGGTTGGCATGGAAGAAGTCAGACTGAAGGGTCTGTTCCCATGCTGTGTGACTCTATGACTTTATAACAGCTGGGCCATTATTTTATCTATTGACTGTAACAGCTCCTGAGAGATGGGGGAAGCTACATAATCCTGGACCGTTACATCCATCTCTTTCACTGAACGATGGAGTGGGTTCTTATTGTAATTATTCACTGTCAGGAAACCGTCCTTCACTTAATGCTAAAGTTGTAGTTTACAAATGTCATTGCCTAGAGCCAACTGACCCCTCATTCATCACCAAATTGGGTTAATGACCTAATCCATCCTTTTATGTCTCAAGTGCCAGATATTTGCCTAACTAAAGGCACCATTAAAATTGGAAGAGTGCATATTGGTTTGGCAAGGTCAAGAAAGCTAATAGGGAAATCATGGGGAACCTTATTACTGAAGGCTGATTCAAAAGTGAAGCTTCATTATTATACAGTGGAAGGGAACATAGGTGCAGTTAAGGGAAAGCTAGAAAAGCAGGAGCAATAAGATATGCTGATAGGGTTTGATAAAGAGAAGGCTTGAGGAGAAGATAAACACCAGCCTTGATCAGTTGAACTAAATGGCCTGTTTCTCCATAATGGACTCAGATGTAATTCTATGGAACATGTGAACTGCTTTTAGATTACAATATGGCCGACACAGCTGAGAAGTGTTCACTATCCATTGTGCTGGCTGTACTTCAGCTGGTGGTTTGTAATTCTCCGAGTCAGAAAGTTTCACTGCAAACATTCAAGCCAGGCTAGTACTGAAATACTGCACGGTCAGAAGTTAAACATTAAGATACTTGGTTTCTCTGGAGAACACGAAAGATTCCATAACCAATTCTGACAAATAAAAAGGGAATTATCCCTCATGCACCAGCCAAAATTTGGCCCTTGAGCAATATGACTATAAAAACCGGTTTTCTTATAATTGTCGCATTGTTGTTTGTGGGATCCTGCTGTGCACCTGCTTTTCTGACATTACAACAGCAGTCACAGTTTGAAAGTAATTGATTTGCTAGGCACCTAAAGGTTATGTGGGATGCTGCGTCAAGTCTTTCTTTCTTTTGAATGTCTGTTGGAGGATAAACAGCCCAGGTTGAAATGCAGTGTGAACATTACCAGGCTGAGGAGATATATTTATAGAAATGGCCTTCTGATGTATGAAGCACCAACTGGAGTGAAATGATTGTAAAACACAGAGAGATGCAAAGGGAAACTTGTGTATTGGGAGTGAACAGGTGTCAGTCAGAATCTCTTTCTACTCTTTCCCTGTTCCATTTATGTACAGTTAGCAATGCTTGCCTCCAACACACTGCACAGTGACAAGACTCACCTCGACAAAGTAGAAGCAGGGAAGTAAGGTCATGCTGTCCTTCGAGAGCTTCTTCTTCTGCATGTCTTTTGCAGAGATCATTTTGACGCTTTCTGCCAAAAGACAAAGGCCAAATCACATATTCTGCCGAACAGAAAGAAAGAATAGTTACGTCAATTTCATTTTAAGTTAACATGGCCAAGTTTGTTGTGTAATGCAATGTGTGTCATGAGTGAATACATCAAATAATGCATATGCTAATCATTACAGCATGTCTGCTAATCGATGCAAATCACAAATAACAGAACTTTGTTGTAAATTGTACTCAATTCACAGTTATAGTGCAGAAATCAACCATTCAATGCAGCACAGTTTTGTAGATTGTTAGAGCACAGAAGTAATGACAGAGTTCTGGACTAATGCTCCATCAAAACAGGTTCAAATCCCACATACGACTTGGTGGAATCTCAATTTGATTAATAAACGAGTCTGGAATAAAGTGCTAGTCTAATAGTGACCACAAATATCTACTGGATTCTTCTAAGAACTGATCTGGGTAATGAATGTCCTTCAGCAGAAAAAATCTGTGATCTTTGCCCAATCCATGTGGTGCATATGAAGCCATGTAATGTGTGGCTGACTCCTAACTGTCCCCAGAGAGGTTTATCAAGCAATCCACACATAGCAAATCATTACAAGATAATAGAAGATTGAAACCAGACAGACCACTGACCTCCAGAGACAGCACACTGTACTAAATAAAAACCAAAAGAACTGCGGATGCTGTAAATGAGGAACAAGAACAAAGTTGCTGGAAAAGCTCAGCAGGTCTGGCAGCATCTGTGGAGGAGAAA